ATCTTATGAAATTCAGAGACGCCCAATTAGTGATAAAAGAAACTAATTTCCGCACACGCAAGTGCCTTGAATCAGCACTGATCGCTGTTTCGAATACAATTAAACAAAACAACGGCAGCTTCACCATCTCCGAAGTCTTAGCAAGAATCCTCCTGAAAACAGTAAACCCTGCCATCACATAGTCTCTCCTGTTATACTACACAAAGCACAGAGAGTGAACACTGAAACAACCTGCCTCATTCCAGTCTATATTTGTCCAACCTATTTTTATGTTACCCAAGTAATAGCTTTTATATCCTTTTACTCATGTACGAATTAATTGCTCTACCATATTGTATTACTTTTGTCACTACCACTACTACTACTACTACTACTACTACTTCCACTAGTGAACATCGAAATGGTACCTCACTAGTATTCACCTCACTCTGAGCCTTTATATACCCTCTGTGTCCATGTATTGTTTGTAATGGCTTGATAAAGCTCCTGGAGAGCGAAACGTTGCCACAATAATGTCACATTAGTTGCACTTGTGTCCTTTTACTTTACATATTGTCGGTAATTCTACCAACTTTATTACAGTCGCCATTCTGTTTGAATTTGGATTAGAAACGTTGGTGTAATGGTAAGAATTTTTCGTGCTCTAGAGGTTAAAATTAGGATGACACCTCTCAAATAGGAGACGAAATTGTTGGATGTGCATTCCTGCATAACTTGAGATATCAGGCGACTGGACAAGACAGCTCCAGGAACCTCAGATAAGTCTTATGTAGTAACCTGGCCAGTGTTATTTTCATAGATAGACAGTGAGGTTTTCTGAGTATGATACACATTAATCTCCAGTCAAATTGGTGAGTGTTATGATTAAGATATATTCTCCTTCTGTTATATAAATGTGTGTATATACTATAATCCTTTTTTAATTTTAATATACAGTCCACAAATTTATATGTTTACCAGCATTCCTGGTGATGTATATTTCATTTAATTAATAGGTCCAGAGCAACTTGTGCATATGACAGTGGTAGGTATCGAAGGGGGACATTTTTTTGCGACCTAGGTGTCCCAAATTCCTACTTGTCTAACTGATAAATAATAATTATCAATGTTCATTTACTGTTATGTATATAATGATACATTCAGATAAATGCAATTTTCCACACTGCCTATATATACCCATCCTGCTCTCCTTTTCGTTAGTGTGAATTTTAAATGGTCCAAGTTGGGCCAAAACGTCTTGTCGTAAGCTCATCTCTTTTATGTGCGGGTTATTTGTGGACCTCAATAGAAATAAGTCACTTTGACTTTTTTGGGGGTTATCCTATGTAATCTAAACATATGTCACTATGTATGATAATTGTACGTATGTGAACCTGTACTTAAATAAGTTTACTTATTTACATGTTTATTTTTTAACCCGTGTGTCAAGTCATATTTGATTACTGTGGCATTGTCTACCTCAGTCCACTTCTTTAATTATTGTTTTCACACTGACGACAACTTTCTTGCTATCTCCTTGATTCAGGTGTGTTTGAAGTTTTCCAATCATGTCCTATAATATAAGTTCCATTACTTGTTTACCTTATCTATGTCTCAGGGTATTGTATATGTCGTGACCATGTCTTTGTCCTTACTTCCTCCGAAGATACATATAAATCTTGCAGTCTACCTTTATAATTCATTCCCTAGTACAGTATCAGTCTGGATGTATTCCTTGTACTTTCTCGAATTATGTTTTAAATAGGAATAGAAAGGTAATATATTAGGCTAATAATGGCCAATGCTAGGCAGGACCTACTCACTCCTAGCCATTCCCACTATTTTTAAATATACAAAAAGTATTTTCTTCAGTGGCAGTACTGACTAGTTTGTTACACTCAGCCACATCTCTGTTGTAGTGCTTTCTTATATCAGTACTAAATTAATTTATCATATGGCCTATTTTAGTGTCATCAGCAAATTTATATCACTGCTTATTCACCCTATCTATGTCGTTTATGTAGATTGTGAACAACAATGGTCTCAGTACTGACCCCCAGTGGCACGCCACTTCATCACACCATTTCATCAGTCACCTGTGTGAAACTATCAAAGGCCTTACTGAAATCCGTATACACTATATCGTATTCTTTATCTTCGTCTACAGAGTTGAATACTTCAGAGAAAAGGTTAGTAAATTCGTGAGGCAAGAACGTCCCTTTGTTAAACCATTTTGAGATTCATTGATCAAATTATATCTTTCAAGGTGGTTTCAAATTGCATACACTGTTATTAATACTATTAACTTACCTACAATTGAGGTTAGGCTATTTGGTTCATAATATAAAGCTAAGGACCTATTTTTGTCTTGAAATGGGTACCACATCTGTCATTTTCCACTTACCTGGTCCGACACCTGTTTGTAATGATCTGTCGAAGAGACTAGGATAATGGTTTGCTAATTTCCTCTTTGCTTTCATTTAGAACCCTTGAAAATAGCTCGTCAGAGCCCAGTGACCTGTTTGGTTTCAAGGTGGTCCATAGTTCGATTGATATCACACTCGGTACACACACACTTAGGTCTGTGGTTCGATCTCCGGTACGTGTGGAAACATTAGGACGTGTTTCCATAAGACACCTGCTGTCCCTGTTCACCCTTCAGTTTAAAATGGGTATCTGGGTGTTAGTGGACTGGTGTGGGTCGCATCCTGGGACAAAACTGACCTAATATGCCCGAAATGCTCTGCATAACAAGGGACTTTCTATATAGTAGTATGTCACTGATGTCAGTTATGGTCTGTATACCTTGTACATGTAGTAAATCAAGATATTATTATTATATATTTCCCGACAATAGGACGCAGTTCACTAGATGGAGTAATGGACATAGTGGAAACTTTAGATAAACTGAGTGAAGGGATGACAACTTGAAATACACAACATGCTAGTGGCTTTCTTTTGCGTTTAACAATATATTATTACAAGTAAACTACATTTTGTATACTGCAGAAAGAAATAAAGTTGCCGGTTTGTTTGTTTACTGAGTTTTCCTGGATTACTAGGCGCTTGTGTAACTAACAAGAAGCGCAGTAACCAGGGACATTTTTGTAGTAACCAGAGTTGTGTAGCAGCCAGAGGCTACTGTGGAAAATTGCATTTACTTGGATGTATAATTATATACATAACAGTAAATGAACAATGATAACTATTATTTATCAGTTAGACAGGTAGGAATTTGGGACACTTAGGTCGCAAAAAAATGTCCCCCTTCGATACCTACCACTGTCATATCCACAAGTTGCTCTGGACCTATTAATTAAATGAAATATACATACACCAGGAATGCTGGTAAATATATAAATTTGTGGACTGTATATTAAAAATAAATGGTTATATATATACACAATTACATAACAGAAGGAAAATATATCTTAATATCACTCACCAATTTGACTGGAGATTAATGTGTATCATACTCAGAAAACCTCACTCTAACTAAATCTATGAAAATAATGCTGGCCAGAATTACACACAAATCTAGAGAGCTTATCTGAGGTTCCTGGAAATAAATTAATCCATGTTAAGCGCTAAACCCAAGTGAGTCATTCAGCGCAAGACGTGTTGGAGGCTCGATCCTCCATCTGGTGAGCGCCACACACTTCTACTGAACACTCTAACACTATATTTAAATCTACCCCATACTTCTTCAACCTCATTGCCTATACTTTCCTGGAGAGGTCTTGTCCAGTCGCCTGATATCTCAAGTTATGCAGGAATGCATATCCACCAATTTTTCCTCCTATTTGAGAGGTGTCAGCACAATTTTAACCTCTAGAGCACGAAAAATTCTTCCCCATTCACCAACGTTTCTAATACAAATTCAAAACCAAGATGGCGAGTGTCTCTACTTTTTTTCGATAACACTTCTTTTAAAAATACAATATAGGCCATCTATTTACCTATAAATTACCGTATTTCCGGAAAATATATACAGTATTTTCCACAGCTACTATGTACCAGCCAGAGGCTACTATATAGCAGTCAGAGGCTATGTAAGAGCCAGAGGCTACTATGTACCAGCCAGAGGCTACTATGTACCAGCCAGAGGCTACTATGTACCAGCCAGAGGCTACTATGTACCAGCCAGAGGCTACTATGTACCAGCCAGAGGCTACTATGTACCAGCCAGAGCTACTATGTACCAGCCAGAGGCTACTATGTACCAGCCAGAGGCTACTATGTACCAGCCAGAGGCTACTATGTACCAGCCAGAGGCTACTATGTACCAGCCAGAGGCTACTATGTACCAGCCAGAGGCTACTATGTACCAGCCAGAGGCTACTATGTACCAGCCAGAGGCTACTATGTACCAGCCAGAGGCTACTATGTACCAGCCAGAGGCTACTATGTGCCAGCCAGAGGCTACTATGTACCAGCCAGAGGCTACTATGTACCAGCCAGAGGCTACTATGTACCAGCCAGAGGCTACTATGTACCAGCCAGAGGCTACTATGTACCAGCCAGAGGCTACTATGTACCAGCCAGAGGCTACTATGTACCAGCCAGAGGCTACTATGTACCAGCCAGAGGCTACTATGTACCAGCCAGAGGCTACTATGTACCAGCCAGAGGCTACTATGTACCAGCCAAGAGGCTACTATGTACCAGCCAGAGGCTGCTATGTACCAGCCAGAGGCTACTATGTACCAGCCAGAGGCTACTATGTACCAGCCAGAGGCTACTATGTACCAGCCAGAGGCTACTATGTACCAGCCAGAGGCTACTATGTACCAGCCAGAGGCTACTATGTACCAGCCAGAGGCTACTATATACCAGCCAGAGGCCACTATGTAACAGCTAGAGGCTACTATGTACCAGCCAGAGGCTACTATATAACAGCTAGAGGCTACTATGTAACATCTAGAGGCGATGCGTAGGATTTCTGAGTGCTGGCGCCTGATGCCACAAGGTCGACCCCTGCGTTGATAAGTGATATTAACCACACAACTCCACAAGAGCTCAGTTGTCTGTTGACTACGGCAGTGGGTGGAGTGCTGCAGCTCTTGTAGTTTCACAGCAACGAGGCTAATTCTCTGTTATATATAAGAAAGAAGGAAGGTATGTATAGATGAATTATTTACTAATAGAAATATAGCCTATCGATTTGGGTTATCCTAGGTAAACTACACATGTGCTGATATGTATGATAATTTATATAATTATATATGTACCTATATCTGAATAAACTTACTAGCCATTAATATTGTAAATATTCATTAGCTTTAGATTCCTTGATGTTCGTAAGACATTTAAGATTAGTTAAGTTTAATGTCTTTATTATTCACCCGTTACCAATGGTGTGGGTGGAAGTCACCACATACTCATGCTGTGGGTGGAAGTCACCACATACTCATGCTGTGGGTGGAAGTCACCACATATGCTGTGGGTGGAAGTCACCACATACTCATGCTGTGGGTGGTAGTCACCACATACTCATGCTGTGGGTGGAAGTCACCACATACTCATGCTGTGGGTGGTAGTCACCACATACTCATGCTGTGGGTGGTAGTCACCACATACTCATACTGTGGGTGGTAGTCACCACATACTCATGCTGTGGGTGGTAGTCACCACATACTCATGCTGTGGGTGGTAGTCACCACATACTCATGTTGTGGGTGGTAGTCACCATACTCATGCTGTGGGTGGTAGTCACCACATACTCATGTGGGTGGTAGTCACCACATACTCATGTTGTGGGTGGTAGTCACCACATACTCATGTGGGTGGTAGTCACCACATACTCATGTTGTGGGTGGTAGTCACCACATACTCATGTGGGTGGTAGTCACCACATACTCATGTGGGTGGTAGTCACCACATACTCATGTGGGTGGTAGTCACCACATACTCATGTGGGTGGTAGTCACCACATACTCATGTGGGTGGTAGTCACCACATACTCATGTGGGTGGTAGTCACCACATACTCATGTTGTGGGTGGTAGTCACAAGATAGAGGTACAAAATGGGTCCAGGAACTGGGACACAACATTGCTAGCTGAGCAAGTTACAGTAGCAGTAAACTACTGTATTCACAAATGTATTAAATCAGAATCAATATTAATGATTTCTTTACATAATAAATTTAGTGACAAAAACTTGACAGTGAAGCATTATTTAACGTTACATAAATTATGCTGACGTAAGTCCAGTTATAGTGAACGACAGAGAGAGTAATGAAACTTTTCCTTCTAATGCAACCTCCTCCTCCTCTGGCAGTGCTAGTTTGTTACTACTGCTTGTACAGCTACTACTAGTACTGCTACTACTAGTACTGCTACTACTAGTACTGCTGCTACTAGTACTGCTACTACTAGTACTGCTATTACTAGTACTGCTACTACTAGTACTGCTACTACTAGTACTGCTACTACTAGTACTGCTACTACTAGTACTGCAACTACTAGTACTGCTACTACTAGTACTGCTACTACTAGTACTGCAACTACTAGTACTGCTACTACTAGTACTGCTACTACTAGTACTGCTACTACTACTGCTGCTACTACTTCCACTACTACTACTACTACTACTACTACTACTACTACTACTACTACTAATAATAATAATAATAATAATAATAATAATAATAATAATCCCAGCAGCCTAGTCTCAGCTTATTACATAATTTATTTTCTAGTAATCCTGTACTAAGATTACACATGAGATTAATTTCATATACTCAGTCATATTCTTCGTGTAATGTTACTTTAAAATGTAAAAAAGGTGAGTGGAGCAGTGTGGACGCTAAGGCGGAATACCAAAACTAGCACATTTTTACTGGAAACTTTAATAGGTTCCCGGGATCTTGGTTACTTCGCGTGTACATTTGCAGTTGAAGGGTTTATCTACTGATATCTTTTAATTCTTAACTTGGCGGATGGGGTATGCCAGTGGAAGGTCTTGGTCACATGACCAAGAACTGTACAAGCTTAACCTAACCTAACATACTATTCATAAGTGATCCTTAATTATTTACAGAGATATTTTAGAATGTGGTCCCACTACAACTATTGTGTCATCAGTACTCTACTCGTTGCTGTTCGCCTCGTCCTGGCCACCCACATCTTTCCTGAAGGTGAGTAAAAAACAAAACTGGAGGGTCATCGTCCCCACAGCCCTGTCCATGACCAGGTCGCGGGGCCCCTGAAGATATGCCAGGAAATTACTAGTCAACCAAACCCGGCAGGCTGAAGATGTGATAGAAATTTACTTAAGTATTGATAGCACTGTTCCTGGAGGATCATGCACGACCTGTAAATCTATATTATTATTATAATAAAAAAGAAGCGCTAAACCCACTAGGGTCATACAGCCTGTAAATCTAGAAATCTGGTCTCTGTTCTAGCCTGAAGAAGGACCATATAGGACAACTGGGTCAAGGGAAGTTATCATATACAGTAAGGGAGCTCCTTGGAAAATCTGTGAAGTGAGAGCCATAATTTTTACCTATGATCACTAACATTTGTGAATGACTTAATTGCTCCTAGTTTACCTGGAGTTTACCTGGAGAGAGTTCCGGGGGTCAACGCCCCCGCGGCCCGGTCTGTGACCAGGCCTCCTTAGGTCAGTGTCCCAGGATGCGACCCACACCAGTCGACTAACACCCAGGTACCCATTTTACTGATGGGGAACATAGACAACAAGTGGAAAGAAACACGTCCAATGTTTCTACTCTGGCTGGGAATCGAACCCAGGCCCTCACCGTGTGAAGCGAGAGCGTGTCCAATTGCTGGTGTCCAATTGCAGATTTCCCTGTAATGTCTGGGTGTTTATTACATTGTAAGTTGTTTTATCTGGGTATATTTCATATGCCCCTTGAGCTATGTATATAGCGTCCTTGTGCAATTAAATTGTGAAATTTATATATAGTGACTTAACCTTTTTCTGGAGAGTCAAGCCCCTGATAAGGTGCCTACTGCTAAGTTTTCAGACCAAGCTACCGTAAGAGTCAGTACTTATCAGAACCAATACTTTGTTTTAACTATCTCGAATTATTTCCCATTGAGTTTTTCCCGCTATAACAGCCTATTGGAATAGAGACAATATGGGATGGGCTGGTACTCTGTCGACCCTTAGGGTGGGACTGGGGCAGTACCTGTTTCACAAAACCATGTCATAGTGGTCCTGTAGTTGAGAGAAGCTGGAGCGACCCGTTCTAAACCCATGCTGGCCTGGGTTGTGCAACTGATTGGAATTCAAGTGGGTGATCTTGCTTCTTAGAACCCTTTCAAATATTTTATGACGGGACGTTAGTGCTATCGATCTGTAATTCTTTGCAATTGATTTACTGCCTACTTTGTGAAGTGGGGCTAAATCAGTTGTTTTTAGTGGCTGTGGGACGACCCCTATGTCTATGCTCCCTTTCTACAGAATATTTAAGGCACGTGAAGGGCTTCTTGCAGTTCTTGATGAACACGGAGTTCCACGAGTCTGGGACTGGGGCAGAGTGCATGGGCATGTCGTTTATTGCTTTTTCAAAATCCTGTGGCGTTAAGATTATATCAGAAATTTTTTAATTAACCATATTTTGAGTCTCAGTCATAAAAAATAATTTAGATTGTCGACCCTTAGATTAACGGCTCATTAAACGCAGAGTCATATTGAGACTTCAGTATCTCACTCATTTCTTTGCTGTCATTTGTATAATCCCCTCTCGTTTAAGCAAAGGCCGAGCACTGGATGTAGTTTTTGCTCTAAATTTAGCAAAAGAATTTTTTTTTCTAATTTCATTTATGGCTTTAAGGTCTTCCTGTGTTTCTTTGCTCCAGTATAATTCCTTAACCCATAGGAGAGCGTGAATATTATTTTATTTTTACATAGCCAGTAACAGGCTCAGCGTTCCTAATAACACGCAATTATTATTATTATTATAACCAAAAAGAAGCGCTAAGCCACAAGGGCTATACAGCAATAACATGCAAGAGAAAGAGAACACACGAGAAAAATGGCAGAGGACTTGGAAGTCCACGTCGAGGATATCCCGTGAGAACTATCTACTTTTGTTTAGATTAAGGACTATCTTGAATTAACTGGATATATGAGCCAAGGATAGGAAAGCAGAATGCTCATTCTTTTCGTCAGTCCTTAATCTAGGTAGGAGGGATGGAGAGAGAGGGAGAGAGAGAGAGCGAGAGAAAGAGAGAGAGAGAGAGAGAGAGAGAGAGAGAGAGAGAGAGTAAATGAAAGAGTATTAGATTAACAAAATTACATCTGTTGCTGCTATTAATAAAAAAAAAAACAATCGCTTCTTAACAGACGAAACGAAGGAATGAGGATGAGGCTTCCTGTCTTTTATGATTGCACGAACACAGATGCACACGTCTACATTTCCAGAGGTTCCATTTAGCAACGAATTTATTTTGTTTGAGAGTTGCATTATGCACCCCATACTCATCCTTTGGGCGACATTTTAGAAATATTTCAGAAAAAATGGGTCCAGCAGCTGGGCCCCGATACAAGTTGCAAATTCGTACAATCTGGCTGTACGGTTAATTACGAAGTCTGAATGTGTGTCATGTTTAGAAAATTTATGTAAGGAAATTTTAAAACGCGAGAGGTATAAAAATTATTAGAAAATTCCACTGCATTGCATCCAAGAACAAAGACGGATCACTGGTGCAATCTCAGTGGCAAAGCAAAAGTTGGTTCACTTGTCTGAGAACGCAGTCAGAACGGTTGATAACATTAGATACACGAAGCTTGATAGATTTTTTTTGGTTCACACTCAAATTCAGTCACGGGCAGGGCGAGACGTACTGACAGGTGCCCTAATATTGTAACCAGATATAAACATGATAATAGTTAATACATAAATAACCCGCACGTAGCTGAGAGAGAGGCTGACGACGACGTCTCGGTCCAACTCAGACCGAAACGTCGTCGTAAGCTTCTCCCTTTTGTGTGCGGGTTATTTATGTATTGTTCCAGTAATTTGTTACCAGTGTAACTTGTTTACATGCCAAAACTCGGCGGTCCGGTGCCTGGATCCATTATGTGCCTCGATGATCTTTTTACTCCCGCCCACGGGAAGGGCATGGGGTACATAATAAAGAAATTAAACCAGCCTGTAGCCCTTGTTCACCTATCAGCAGATACACAAGTAGGAATTAGTTGGGTGTTGTGAACCACGTTGAACGGAAAGGCATCAGACCCTCATCTGAAATAAGCCACATTGCTTGGCTTGCCTGGGTTATACTGGGTTTAATTTGCTCTTCAGGGTTAATATTCCGTATAAAGCTTTCCCCTCGTTTCTCCCTCATTTCCTACAGTTTCTGCTTGTTGCAGTTGCATCTTGCACAGTGGAGGGGCGCTGTGTTTTTTGAAGAAAATTCTCTTATCTTTTTTATATTATTGACAAAATAATGCACGTACAGTGGGACAGTAGCTAAGACTGTATCCCTGAAGACTGTATCCCTGAAGACTGTATCCCTGAAGACTGTATCCCTGAAGACTGTATCACTGAAGACTGTATCTCTGAAGACTGTATCCCTGAAGACTGTATCGTGAAGATTTTATCCTGAAGACTATATCCTGAAGACTATTCTGAAGACTCTATCCTGAAGACTATTCAGAAGACCGCATCCAAAACTGCTTATACCTGAAGAAATGGTCATCACATAACACTCTTTGCACACACTCTCGCAAATTATTTACGCTGATGGTTCTGTTCACCAATCCACTGGTGCAGCTGGTAGTGCTGCTGTTGTCGTACAGAGTGATGGCTCTCTTAAAGAAATTGGAGCACGCATTAATAATTGGGCCTCTACCCTTCAGACAGAACTGTTTGCCATACTCCTTGCACTGAAATGCATCTATGTATCAAAGATTGACAGTTTAATTGTAACTGATTCTCTGTCATCCATGAATGCTCTCAACTCATTAAGCATAAATTGTGGCATGCTTGTGTCAGAAGCCAGACACAGGTATGGTAGGATTGTGGACAGTGGAGTCAGAGTGCACATGCTGTGGATTCCACCTCACATTGGTCTTCAGATGCATGATAGAACTGATAAATTGGCTAAGCTGTATGCTTTCAAAGAGGGAGTAGATTACAATCTTGGCTTGTCAGGTAGTAGTTTGAGAACAATAATACGAAAAGAACTTCAACTGAATTTTATGGACTTAAGACTCAGGGAGATTGACACCAGTGAGTCCATCTATCATCATTCTATCATGCAGGAGGAGCCACATGTCTATGGTGCATCCAACAAAATAAGCAGACTCTTGGATGTCACTACCGCCCGGCTCCGGCTGGGTTGCAAGTATCTTGGCAGGTTAATCACCACCACCAGATGTAGACCAAACGAAAATGTAAACTTTGCCAGATGAGCTATTAGTACAATCCTGCTGTCATATGTATGTAGTGCGAACAAATCAATGAATTTAAGAAATTTATGGTACTAAGAATAGGAGATTTACACCAGTGGTACTATTATCATCTTCATGCAGGAGAGCCCTGACTATTGCTCCCTAAATAAAGCAGACTCATGTTGCCGGGTCGTGGTTGATTTTTGGCAGGTTCCCCACCAGAAGTTCCAAGAATGTATTTGCAGAGGCTTTGTATGGTAATTTGTGACTGTGTAGTTCGAAATTAATGAATTTCACAACTCACTCAGATGTTCAAAGGCAGCTTTATAATCCCCGGGTTTACAGCCATCGATCCCCTTGATTGTATTAAAAAATTAATGTGTTGTGTGTGTGTTTGTGTGGTTTTGTGTTGGTGTGGGTTTGTTGGGTTGTGTGTAGTGATGCTGTGCACTCACCCTAGTTGTATAATTCCGGTGGTCCTGATCTAAATCTATGTGTGTGTGTGTGTGTTTGTGTGTGTGTGTGTTGTGTATGATGTGTGTGTCCTGTTGAGTGTGGTGTGTGTGTGTGTGTGTGTGTGTGTGTGTGTGTGTGTGTGGTGTGTGTGTGTGTGTGTGTGTGTGTGTGTGTGTGTGTGTGTGCGTGTGTATGAGTGTGTGTATGAGTGTGTGTGTGTGTGACTCGACAATCAATATTTGCACCAATAACTCACTACAGTTGTGACCGGGTGTGGAAGTGTGAATTACTCATTACTCTAAAATTTGTTCATGATTGTAGCCATGTATAAACGCAAGTAACCATTCTTACAGTATTCATTACCTTTGTAACTTGTGAGTTCATTACCTTGTGCCTAGTTCAGCCATCAAAACTTTGGAGCCCGGTCCCTGGACCCATTATGTACCTCTGTAATCTGTAAATACCTTTGTAACTTGTCATGATTTTGACTAGACCTACCTGGAGTTCATTACCTTTGTAAATTGTGAGTTCATTACCTTTGTAAATTGTGAATTCATTACCTCTGTAACTTGCTCAGCTATCAAAACTTTGAGGCCCAGTCCCTGGACCCATTATGTACCTCTGTAATCTTTTGACTACCGCCCACAGGATGGGTATGGGGTGCATAATAAACATATTAAACTAAAACTAACTAACTCCATACTCCAAAACACTTGGAAAAGTTCATTACCGCTCCACAAGATTTTGACATATAGGAAATTATTTTAAAAACCTTGATGCGTGGTGAAACTTGTCCTAATACCTTGAAAAAATGCCTTTACCTAGAACACACTTAAAATGGAACACACATGAACCTAGTAGCGACCAGCGAAGAGACGGGGACCAGGAGCTGTGAATCGACCACTGCAATCACAGTACAAATAGGCGAGTACACACACTTCTTGAGTGTGTTCAAAAACTCATGGCTGGATAGTTCAAGTTTATCTTAAGATAGAAGTCTTTTACGACTTATCTCCCATTTACCCAGTAACTGCTTGATCCCTAAGGGTTTAGCGCTCCCACCCATGAGTAATAGTGTTATTTTTTATGATTCTGGATCTCAAGAGCTCAGGATACAGCATTCATATAATCTTAGGAAGAGGGCATATGCCAGTTCTCTGAAATATAACTGAGGCATGTATACGATAAAGTTTTTTTTCCCTTTCCGTCATCACCGCGTCCTGTTTTACGACACAACACAGGAAGGATATGGTCTGGCCCTGAGTATGCGCGCTAGGGGTGCAGGGCACCAGGAGTGCGGCCCCTAGAGGCGTGCACGGGAGAAGGTGCAACGCATCAGGGGGCCCCTGACTGAAAAAATCCCTAAATGCCAACAAATAGGAGGCCCCTTAGTCCCAAACTGAGAGCCTGGAACGCGACCTTCAAATATTTACAGACTGAAATAATAATAATAATAATAATGATACTACTACTTATAATTATAATAATGATGATGATAACAACAATAATAATAATGATACTACTACTACTACTACTACTACTAATAATAATAATAAATGTTTGACAGGACCAGAGTCTTGCGTGAGAAATATCAGTGTGGAACAGTTTAATATTAGCGTCAGGTATGAGATTCACCTGGATCAGCAGTGCTCTCTAGGTAAGTTACACTCGCTAATTAGCCCTTCATTTGCATATACATCTTTGTTATACTTCTCTCACTTAAATATGTATCATAGTCTTTCGAAGATGTATCATATCCTCTTGAAGATGTATCATATCCTCTTGAAGATGTATCATATCCTCTTGAAGATGTATCATATCCTCTGAAGATGTATCATATCTTGAAGATGTATCATATCCTCTTGAAGATGTATCATATCTTGAAGATGTATCATATCCTCTTGAGAGTGTATCATATCCTCTTGAAGATGTATCATATCCTCTTGAAGATGTATCATATCTTGAAGATGTATCACATCCTCTTGAAGATGTATCATATCCTCTTGAAGATGTATCATATCCTCTTGAAGATGTATCATATCCTCTTGAAGATGTATCATATCCTCTTGAAGATGTATCATATCCTCTTGAAGATGTATCATATCCTCTTGAAGATGTATCATATCTTGAAGATGTATCATATCCTCTTGAAGATGTATCATATCTTGAAGATGTATCATATCCTCTTGAAGATGTATCATATCCTCTTGAAGATGTATCATATCCTCTTGAAGATGTATCATATCTTGAAGATGTATCACATCCTCTTGAAGATGTATCATATCCTCTTGAAGATGTATCATATCCTCTTGAAGATGTATCATATCCTCTTGAAGATGTATCATATCCTCTTGAAGATGTATCATATCCTGAAGATGACTCTCTTGTTCGTTCATTGAAAGACATGTCTAATTCTGCTCACAGGCACCTCACACTTATGGACATTTCACGTCGTCAGCTGCGACACTGATGAGAAACTCTTAGAGGTGTATAGCACCACGGAGGTAATATGGTTTCTTTCATGTCCTCTCCTACCTTCACTGGGCTTAGTAACCCCCGCAGGCTTGATAAAACAAGAAAACCAGAGGCAGTGTCAGTAATAACGGTAGAATTACCCATAAAATGTCAAGTAATTGGACACGGATGTAACTAGTGTGACGTTTTTATTGTGGCAACGTTTCGCTGTCCAGGAGCTTTGTCAAGAGCAGTGTTACTCAGATCCAGGAAAATTAAGTCAGGAAAAGTCACAGAAAATAAGTCACTATTTTGGCTAGGGGGGGAAAATGCCACTGGAAAAAAGGGTCACATTTTATTTAAATGCTATAAACAATTAATGAAACAAAAAATTACAACAATTTATTTTTTTACATATACGTAAAAAAATCACCTTTTATTCATTTTCTTAAGCAAAGTAAAGCAATAAAACAAAAACATGCAGGTTAGGTTACTCTGTGGCCTTTTTTTTATGACCTTTTTTTATGTGACCTAGTTTGTCCCTCCTCGCCCCGGGATTTTACCCCAGGTTCTTTAGGTTGTGAGCCGCAGGTTCTACAACTCTGCTACGAGAGAAGAAAAAGAGGACAGAGCACAGCTGTTTAGAGGTGTTTTGTTTACGAAAAAAAAAAACTAGCCGCGGTTACGTATATACGTAAACTCACATCTTAAGACTGTATTATTAAGATAAACTTGCTAATAATTGAAACACTTTCGCAACATTTTTGGAATCTTTATTCTGGAAACGTTTCACCAGCCAGGGACTGATTACTTCAAACCCCCTCATCTTCCACCGTTTTTCCTGTATTGGAACTGACGTCTACAAATGAAGATACCCAGATGTTGCACCTGTGTTTAATACTTTAGGGCTAGAATTGTGTGTGTTATATATATATATATATATATATATATATATATATATATATATATATATATATATATATATATATATATATATATATATAATATAATATTAATATATATATGTATATATATATATATATATATATATAAATATTATATATATATATATAGATAAATATATATATACATATATATATATATATATATATATATATATATATATATATATATATATATATAATATTATATATATATATATATAATATATATATATATAATATTATATGCAAAACAACCACTGTGAAAGAGTAGTGAAATTCCAAGCGCTTTCGTGACTACTCCTTGACAATGTGAGTAGTCACGAAAGCGCTTGGAATTTCACTACTCTTTCACAGTGGTTGTTTTGCATATTTTAAAATCACCTGTTTACTGTGATCTTATTGCATATATTATATATATATATATATATAATATATATATATATATATATATATATATATATATATATATATATATTATAATATATAATGTATATATATATATATTTATATATATATATATATATTTTATATATATATATATATAATATATATATATATGTGTGTGTGTGTGTGTTGTGTGTGTGTGTGTGTGTGTGTGTGTGTGTGTGTGTGTGTGTGTGTGTGTGTGTGTGCGTGCGTGTGTGCGTGTGTGTGTTTGTGTATTGTTCCAGTCACGACATTATGCCTTTTTTGTTCTTTACGTCCTTACAGCGGGTGGATTTGATGTGCCCCCTTTAATGTGGTTGTAAAAGCTCCAGCTGGGAATGCCCTCTCACCACCTTTCAAACCTCGGAAAAAAACCCAAGTCAAATTATTTCTAACGTTCAAGTAGGGGGGTTTCCCCTTTTCTTTTTTTGCTCTGAGTTGCCCCATTGTTCCATCTGCATGTATTGTGTTTTTTTTTTCGTTTGGTGTGTTTTTGTTTTTGTGGTTTTAGTATTTTTGTTTGTATTTTTTTTGGTTTTGTTTGGTTTTTTGTAGGTTTTTTTTTTTTTTTTGTTTTGTTTTTATTTGTTGTGTGTTTTTTATATAATAATATATTAAAGTTATCATAATGTTGCAAAGGGGTCTCTTGATCTAAAAAATGAGGTCCCCTCTTCCCCCCTGGACGAACTTGTTCCTTAAATTTTTTTGTGAAGGGCACCTGACCCGGGTGCCCCTGAGGCTTCTCATTTTCCCTTTATACATAGCATATTCTAGCCTCTTTTTTTTTCTGTATTACTGACAATTTTATTTAGTTATATGGTAAAATTTTTTTTTTAAAAAACCCTTCCCTATTGATTTCATTATTTTGAATTATGTGAGAAAATTGGGGGGGGGGGGCTGTATAATGCAAAATACTACTTTGATTCACATTTTTTTAATCAGCCACAAATCTTTGGAGATGAGAATCACGTCGGAGCCATGGGTGAAGACTTGGACCTTGACAGTCATCCGCTGTCAGCCTAAAGCCACTTGGCCATCAGACGAATGTCCTAGTTACATTGTGGATAACGTTGGTAATTCCACGCACTTGGGCCACCAAGGGCACTTCGACCTCAACTGCTGCTACTTCTTTCGGGTTAGTGTGTTGGGTGGGCAGTAGGCTTCAGTAGAAGTATTTCATAGGCTTTTAGGAATTCTTATACTGTATTTCAGTGGTATTCATTACCGACAAGATGATGAATTAAGACATTTGTGTAACACCTGGGTATGTTTACTTGTAGATGTTTCGCCATCCAGTGGCTTTATTAATTCATTACATGGATATAACGTGAAAATTGTAGAAAAAATATATATAACAGACAGTGGAAGATCAGGTAATCACTCCCTCATCTAGGCTGAAGGACGCACCACTAACAACCACTCACCACTAACATTCACCAACAATCATTCACTACTAACATTCACCAACAATCGTTCACTACTAACAACCACTCACCACTAACAACCACTCACCCTCACCCCTCTCCTCTCTTATCACAGCTACAACCTGTGAGCAGCATACCACAGTGTACATTGCAAGTAAGTGACATGCACTTCCCCAGCGAGTGTTACACGCCATCACCAACACCATCAACAACACCACTGCCGCCACCTGAAGGGTCAGTTATCCCACAAGAGAAGTTACCTCTTGTGAAGTTTTTTCTGTACTTCTTGGTCTTTGAACGATAACTTAAGAATGCCTCTTCTTATCAGCTTCAAACTTCCATCATTTGCATGCCCTGCTGAGAGGAAGGTTCCGGTTATCACAGATCTGTGTTGGCGCTAATTTTACTATTATATTATACACCATTGCTGGTGTATCTTACCAACCTGCTGGGTGTTCCGGGGTCAACGCCCCTGCGGTCCGGTCCGTGTCCAGGCTTCCTTGTTTCCGTGTTTCCATAAGACTCCTGCTGTCCCTGTTCACCCATCAGTGTAAAATGGGTATCTGGGTGTTAGTGGACTGGTGTGGGTCGCATCCTGGGACAAAACTGACCTAATTTGCCCGAAATGCTCAGCATAACAAGCAGCTTTCTGTATAGTAGTATGTCATTGATGTCAGCTAGGACTGTATGTCATGTACATGTACTTGTAGTAAATAAAGATATTATTATTATTATTATTATTATTATTATTATTATTATTATTATTATTATTATTATTTCAACACACCGGCCGTATCCCACCGAGGCGGGGTGGCCCAAAAGGAAAAACAAAAGTTTCTCCTTTTACATTTAGTAATATATACAGGAGAAGGGGTTATTAGCCCCTTGCTCTCGGCATTTTAGTCACCTCTTACAACACCCATGGCTTACGGAGGAAGAATTCCGTTCCACTTTCCCATGGAGGTAAGAGGAAATAAACAAGAACAAGAACTAGAAAGAAAATAGAAGAAAACCCATAGGGATGTATATATATGCTTGTACATGTATGTGTAGTGTGACCTAAGTGTAAGTAGAAGTAGCAAGACGTACCTGAAATCTTGCAGGTGTATGAGACAGAAAAAAAAGATACCAGCAATCCTACCATCGTGTAAAACAATTACAGGCTTCCGTTTTACACTCATTTGGCAGGACGGTAGTACCTTCCTGGGTGGTTGCTGTCTACCAACCTACTACCTAGAATTATTATTATTATTATCATCATCATTAGTGTTCAGAACAGGATATAAATACTCAGGTGCTCTGCTGGCGTTGTTTATAATGTGTTGAGTAACATTTAACGTGAGAAGTGTGCAGGCAATCTACAGGATATTCACTGAAACACGGGGATTCCCATTGACCTATTGTACTTCTACAGGTTTTCTTGGATATACTGGGCGGTCGTGGTTGCAGTGGGCCTGGCAGCAATACAGGGCGTGTTGTTAGCAGCTTGGTACCTCAGGTACAAGGCAACACCATCTAGTACCAGTAAGTTGAAACTTTGTATGGTGCTCAGGAGATTCAGCCAGTGATCTCTGGCGAGAACTGCTACTTTGACCAGATTTAGATTTTGCCACCGAAGTGGCTAGTTTATTGTGCACCCCATATCCATCCTGTGGACGGTAGCGCGAGAGCATATGGATACACAAAAGGCCTAGGAACTAGGCCCCAAAGGGTTAACAGGAATACATATGGATTTATATCTACATATCTATAGTTCACTTATCTGTTACAAGCAAATTTAGGAAATTTGCTTAGTATATCTGGTATCTTATTTTCATTAATAAGATATCTTGACATGTCACATAGGTTATTATACTGTCTGTCTCTGTATTCCTCAATAAGTGGACAATTAAGCACATAGTGTTCAAGAGAGTGACCATATGCCTGATCACATAATTTACATTTAGTTTGATCATCATCTGTGTGTCTCCCAAACTGCCAGAAGTACTTGTAACCAAGCCTAAGCCTGGCCACTACAACATCAGTCAGTCTGTTCACATTGCAAGTTGCTCCATAAACACTCAGGCTTCTAACTGCATTCCTATAACAATCATTTTCATTATTTACTTCTCTCCTAATATTATTCCTAATGCTAGACACAGTTATACCAAAGTTATATTCTACATTCTCCTTCTCGATACTCTTCTTGGCTAACATATCAACTTTATCATGAAGGAGTAATCCAATGTGTGATGGGATCCATAGCAATTGTACATTAATTCCTTTGTCCCTAATTTTTGAGTATCTATACCTGGCTTCCCCAATGAGCATGTTGTTGGAGTCATTATATGAGTCAAGAGCCTTCAGTGATGACATAGAATCAGTAATGATGATAGAGTCAAGCTCAGTGTCATAGGTTAGCTTTAGCGCCATTAGGATTGCAAACAATTCAGTTTGCAGTGTAGATGCCCAGTTGTTAATTCTTATGCCTAACTCAACAAATTTATTATCGTTCTTAACTAGGGAGGTGGCAACAAGAGCAGATGCAGCCCTTCCAGAAGACTCCTGTTTAGATCCATCAGTGTATATAACTTGTGATAACTTGTTACTACCAGCTAGGTGAGAAATTTCTTCTTGAGCAGTTGCTCTAACAAGAGATTTAAGGAAGGGATTACTAGCAATGAGCTTCTTGGGAGGGACTTGTAGGTATGTGATATTAAATGAACACATCTTCCATGGAGGGGTGAAATGCTCTTGTTGCCTACAGTGATACAGTTCATGTAGGTTATAAAACTTAATGCAATTGCACGTTTTCACAATCCCCTTCCTAAAGAACACAGCGCAGGAAATTCGCAGTGGTAATTTGTATATCAGAAGGACTGCACATGACCTAAAGACTTGATTAAATCAAGTCAGGTGAGGTCAGGAATGGGGTTTTCAAAGTAGTTTAAGCATTTCAAATAAATAAATATTGATTGTACCCAGAAACTAAATTCCTGGACTTGTGCACAGGTTGCAGTCAATACTGAATATTATGCAGCATGACTCAATATTTTTTGTAAAACCATTGATTTGTACGTAACATTTTTCTTGTTTTATGCCAAGTCATTAGAATCATTAATATCTCTTTTACGAGTAAATAAATACGATATTATACTCGTGTTGTTTCAACCCATAATTTTATTGTTTTTTTCGTAGCATTTTCCATGAACTTGATAATATTTCGTACAAGGGATCTTAATACCAACTTCTTTCCATCAGAACCTTGTCATCAGTGGGAAGAAAAGAAACAGTCGATGGAGCACCACCTGCAGCTGGTGGTGCAGCAACTACCTGTAATGTTGGTGTATGCCCATGATGTCTCCGACCTCCAACTGACACTTCTTACCACCTGGCTCACTGACCACCTGAGATGTCAGGTAGGTTCCTCCACCTGTAAGTAAGTAAGTAAGTAAGTTTATTCAGGTATACACAAATACAGTTACATAGAATTATCATACATAGCAGCATATGTGTAGAGAACCTAGGATAACCTGTAGCACTAGGTAGGCTCCCTCACACCACCTGTAGCACCAGGTAGGCTCCCTCACCACCTGTAACACCAGGTAGGCTCCGTCACACCACCTGTAGCACCAGGTAGGTTCCCTCACCACCTGTAACACCAGGTAGGTTCCCTCACCACCTGTAACACCAAGTAGGTTTCCCTGTCACCTGGTTAGCTGTACCTCATACGTAATACCATTGCGTCATTAGCCAAGCCGCTCAAAATTTCGTGTGCAACCAGTGGTGAACCTACATTTTTGGGGCCCTGAAGCTTGAACTGCTATAGGTGCCCCTTCACAACCCCTTCTCATGCAGTAGTCCCAAATTTTTAAGTAGTGTGGACTAAAGTTGTTTCTGGGAGCCCCTCCGGGATTAGGGTTTCTGAAGCTTAAGTTTCATTAGTTTCACAGTGTGCAACATAAACATTAAATCATATAAAGGCAGCAGCTTCTCTAGCAAACAGTGGAAATTACGTAATGCAAATGCGATGGATTTGTAAACAAATTAATTAACATTACACTAGCATGATTTATAATAATAATAATAATAATAATAATAATAATAATAATAATAATAATAATAATAATAATCTTCATTTATACAAGTACTGTATATGATGCAACTTATACAGAACATAACTGGCGTCAATAAAATACTATCATATGGAAAACCCCTTGTTATGCAGAGAATTTCGGACACATAAGGTCAGTTTTGTCCCCAGGGTGCGACCCACACTAGTCGACTAACACCCAGGTACCTATCTACTGCTAGGTGAACAGTGACAGTAAGTGTCTTAAAGAAACACGTACCAATGTTTCCACCCATACCGGGGATTGAACCACTGTTCAACTGTTCAACTGCCTCCCAGCATACATAAGGGGGATTACCAATAGACCCCTGGCTGTCTTCAAGCAGGCACTGGACAAGCACCTAATGTCGGTATCTGAACAGCCGGGCTGTGGCTCGTACGTTGGATTGCGTGCAGCCAGCAGTAACAGCCTGGTTGATCAGGCCCTGATCCACCATGAGGCTTGGTCACAGACCGGGCCGCGGGGGCGTTGACCCCCTGAAGTCTCTCCAGGTAAACGGACCTCAGTGTATGAGCTGAGTGTGCTAGCAATCGAGCTACGGGACACCGATACGTTGATACTGCATACACCTGACCACTGAGAACCAGGCCGGGTCTCGTAGCAGGAATGGTACACAGTGACCCGTAGCTCGGTCGCTAGCGCACTCAGCTCATACACTGTGGTCCGGGGGTCGATATCCCGGTATGGCTGGAAAACATTAGGACGTGTTTCTATAAGTCACCTGCTGTCCAGTGTTCACCCATCAGTAAAACTAGGTACCTGGGTGTTAGTCGACTGGTGTGGGTCACATTCTGGGGACAAAATTAACTTAATTTGTCCGAAATGCTCTGCATAACAGGGGCTTTCTATACAGTAATCCTCTCAAGGAGGTTCCTTGACGCTGGTGAGGGGCTCTTGATCTAGGGAATCGGATCTGTGCTCCAGTTTCCTGAATTAAGCCTGAATACCTTCCATCCCTCCCCCTACAGGTGCTGTATAATCCCTACGGGTTTAGCACTCCCTCATGATTATAATAATAATGATCTATATAGTATTATGTTATTGATGTCAGCTCTAGTCTGTATACATTGTACATGTACTTGTAGAAATAAATATTATTATTATTATTATTATTATTATTATTATTATTATTATTAAAAATAGCTTATTTTGAAGAACATTGTTGATTGTGTCAGTCGTACATGAACTAATATTTCCTTTCAGAAATTCTCTCAGTTTAAGCCCCTGGGCTGCTTGGTCACCTTGCTCTGGTGGGGAGGTTATAACCGCCCAAGTACCTTACTAAAAACCCAGCAACCCAATTTCTGGATAAATGGTGGGGAGAGTTGCCCCTTTGTCAAAAATTTGCTGTCATTGTCAAAGACATGAAATATATTGTTGCTATAATTTGTGCTGCAACTAATGGGTTTAGATTCTTTTAACTATATTATGATTGCTATCTGTACTACTACTACTACTACAGCTAGAACTAGTAATAATATTAGTACTACTAGTACTGCTAATAAAATAATAGTAATAATTAAGAGAAAGCTGAAGGTAACAAATTTGAGCAGTATAAATATTATTTTTATCAAACACATAGTTTCTTGCAGGTTCACAACTTGTATAATACCAACGAGACGGTGGAGCGAACAGTGGACCCGTATCAGTGGCTGCTGACGATGCTGTCCAGCAGCAGCGTCTCCGTCAGGGTGGTACTGGTGATGTCTCCTGCCCTCAACACTATCCAGAAGGCTGTGGTTGAGGGCCGTGGAGACCAAGGTATATTGGGTCTTGGACTGAAGAAGCCACTGACTGGCGAAACGTTTCCAGGGCAAGGCGGACGCAAGTCCCCCCTAACATTTACTGTCCCCCCTGTTTGTCTAACAATGAAACGATTACTAGAAGCTAGTTGTATGTTGTAGGTTGTTTCTAGACGTGTGTCTTGGTCATATGATGACCCACCACTGGAACTTTTGGTCATCTAACCGAGGCCTTCCACTGGCTTACACTTTTGCCCCTTTAAATATTAAAATTAGTGTACCTGGAGAAGGACATTAGGATTTCAGTAGCAGTAAGGCACACTGCTGGCCTTCCTGGGGCTGTCTGGGGTTTTTAATGCTCTGAGATTAATAATTCGAATATTTTTTGTTTTAGGTATACTATTATTTAACTACTAAGGAGTTAGCTACGAGTGTGTCTTGATTAGAATTCAGAGGATTTGTAGCCCTAAGTGTAGAGTTCCAAGGATCTATATCCCTGAGTATGGAGCTCAGAGGATTGCAGCGCTGAGTATGGAGCTCAGAGGATTGCAGCGCTGAGTATATATGAATAATTTGAGAAAGAGATTGCATGCAAATACATATTTTTTAATTATAAAGCCGCGAAAACTGATTCAGAACACAGAAGTGAAGACAAAACGTTGCAGCACCAGCTGTAACAGCTGGTGCTGCAACCAGCATTTACAACTGGTTCTGCTTTATTGCCTTCAGACTTTTTCCCAGTGGGCATTGGGTGTAAAATAAAAATACTAAACTAGCTAACCCTCTAGTTGGAACGTTCCTCATATTGACAATGTTTTCAGTGGTGGACGGAGTTCCTCCAGGCGATAGATTCCACACCAGTTTATTGACAGCGACTCTGAAGCGACTACAGCAGCAAGACCTTGTCAGGAACTACCGTCGTGTGTTCATCGTCAGGTGAATACTGCTTGTAGTATTAAAATAATAATAGCAGAATCAGCTGTTGCTTCTTCTCTTCCAGGTTTATGTAGGAGGAACTTGGTGGTAACAATGGTTGGAACATGGGGCTGGGGGACTAGTCTTGAAACAATATTATTATAACTATTACTATTTATATTGTTAGGGCTGATGGAATTTCAGGTTCCGTTGACACCGCCCTCGAGAAGAAAAATATCTATTCTGACTAGTCAAAACCCGAGAAAACCAAGCAATATGGATTATTCCCATTGGGGTCCTCAGGGCGTTCTTCTGCTGTGACCCACAACAGTCGACTCTCTCACAGGTACCTATTTTTTGCTAGGTAAACGTGGGAAGCTGTTCTGAGACTTATCGATATATAATACCTCGCCTAGGACTGAACGTGGGTCCTAAGATGCATCTGCCGTTGGTGTGGGTAGCTGTTCTTAGTAGGAATTACAGTCGTTGCTTATGTGTATGCAGCCCTTGCATTCATAGGCATTCCTACAATGCACATACACACCTTTATTATTATTAGTAGTAGTAGTAGTGTAATAGTAACAATAGTATTGGTGTAATGGTAGCAGTAGTTGTAGTGTAATAGTATTAGTGTAATTGCAGTAGTAGTAGTGGTATTATTATTATTATTATTATTATTATTATTATTCAGGGGACAATGCTCATTTGGCAGGGACTAGGAGGTAATAAGTTTGATCCAAGAAAAAGGAGGGAGCTCCAGTTCCTCGAATCAAGAGTTTGTTTTTGACCCAGATCAACGCACCCCCCCCCCTTAAAATTGACAAATATGTTAACATTCTAATAAATCTTGTGGACAGCTTGGACGAGACGGAGATGGTTGCCATGCAGTTCGAGAATCCACAGATGGTGAATCCACAGTTGAAGAATCCACAGATGGTAAATCCACAGGAAGGTTATGCAGAGTCACAGATGGAGAGTGAACTAGATGGCAACATGGACCTGTTGGTGGAACACATGCGTTACTGTTTTCCCCGGCACCAGCAGCAGCTGGCAGCTGCTCTCTTGCAACACTAGGATCTGGATCCTCGTAGTGCCAACAACACCTCCCAACAGCCTCCATAAACAAATTCTTATTTGGTAACTATACACCCGGAATAGATTAAAAAAAATTGAACAATTTTTTACTGCATTAGCGTGTATAGTTTCCAGAATGATAGATATGTACAACACTAGGGTATCAGAATGATGAATAATGATGAATAGTGTTATAGTGTATCCCACAGTGGCACTGTAGTATATAGATAATAAATGCTAAAGTGTCATTTAAAACAGGTGTAACTGTAACTGAAGTGATAGGCTTAAAGAGGCAGGTGCCAGCAGTCGCCAGAAACCTACCACACAGGTCAGCTGTTTTAATAATCTTCCTGGCCTGCTAGTGTACCTCGCACGTAATCTTCCTAGCCTGCTAGTGTACCTCGCATATAATCTTCCTAGCCTGCTAGTGTACCTCGCACGTAATCTTCCTAGCCTGCTAGTGTACCTCGCATATAATCTTCCTAGCCTGCTAGTGTACCTCGCACGTAATCTTCCTAGCCTGCTAGTGTACCTCGCATATAATCTTCCTAGCCTGCTAGTATACCTCGCATATAATCTTCCTAGCCTGCTAGTGTACCTCGCACGTAATCTTCCTAGCCTGCTAGTGTACCTCGCATATAATCTTCCTAGCCTGCTAGTGTACCTCGCACATAATCTTCCTAGCCTGCTAGTGTACCTCGCATATAATCTTCCTAGCCTGCTAGTGTACCTCGCACATAATCTTCCTAGCCTGCTAGTGTACCTCGCATATAATCTTCCTAGCCTGCTAGTATACCTCGCATATAATCTTCCTAGCCTGCTAGTGTACCTCGCATATACTTAGTGATACCAGTGGGGGAAATTTTCCTTTTAAATTACGTTAAGTTGCAAAATCTTGAGGAAATACGAAAAGTGAACAGTTTTGTAAAAATACGATATTAGTGAAGGTTTACAACAATAAGACCATTTATCCTCCAGAAACCTTTCCACAGTGTTGTAGTAGCAAATAACCAGTAATATAATGGTACTTACTGGAGTGGAGTGACCATCATTAGTTTTTTCTTCATTTTTGAAATATTAGACGTATACAGTGGAAATTCATATAACCTGTAGTTAGCAGCGGTCGCAATATACACAACGAAAAGCAAATATTACTCCAGCAAAATCGACTTTCCTCCAGTAATCTTCACCAGCCAACTATAGTGATAACATAGCATTTGTTGTGGTGGAGACGGAAAAATTCTAGAAAAGCTAAATACAGTGATCTATAAACCTTCAGGCTGTAAATAAGGGTTGAGGTCTGACCGTTCGTCACTGTAGGAGCTGCCAGCAATATTTGATGTTATCCTGACGCCAAATGACTTCGAACAGGCGATAAATGACATGCCCATGCACTCTGCCCCAGGGCCAGACTCATGGAACTCCGTGTTCATCAAGAACTGCAAAAAGCCCCTATCACGTGCTTTTAACATCCTCTGGAGAGGGAGTATGGACACTGGGGTCGTCCCACAGTTGCTAAAAACAACAGACATAGCCCCACTCCACAAAAGTGGCAGTAAAGCAATAGCAAAAAACTACAGACCGATAGCGCTAACATCCCATATCATAAAAATCTTTGAAAGGGTCCTAAGAAGCAAGGTCGCCACCCATCTTGATACCCATCAATTACACAACACAGGGCAACAAGGGTTTAAAGCAGGTCGCTCCTGTCTATCCCAACTTCTGGATCACTATGACAAGGTCCTACATACACTAGAAGACATAAAGAATGCAGATGTAATATATACAGACTGCAAAAGCCTTCGACAAGTGTGACCATGGCGTAATAGCGCACAAAATGCGTGCTAAAGGAATAACAGGAAAAGTTGGTAGATGGATCTGTAATTACCTCACAAACAGAACACAAAGAGTAGTAGTCAACAGAGTAAAGTCTGAGGCGGCTACTGTGAAAAGCTCTGTTCCACAAGGCACAGTACTCGCTCCCATCTTGTTTCTCATCCTCATATCTGACAGACAAGGATGTCAGCCACAGCACCGTGTCTTCCTTTGCAGATGACACCCGAATCTGCATGACAGTGTCTTCCATTGCAGACACTGCAAGGCTCCAGGCGGACATCAACCAAATCTTTCAATGGGCTGCAGAAAACAATATGAAGTTCAACGATGAGAAACTTCAATTACTCCAATATGGTAAACATGAGGAAATTAAAACTTCATCAGAGTATAAAACAAATTCCAGCCACACAACAGAGCGAGAAACTAACGTCAAAGACCTGGGAGTGATCATGTCGGAGGATCTCACCTTCAAGGACCATAACATTGTATCAATCGCGTCTGTTAGAAAAATGACAGGATGGATAATGAGAACCTTCAAAACTAGGGGTGCCAAACCCATGATGACACTCTTCAGGTTGCTTGTTCTATCTAGGCTGGAATATTGCTGCACACTAACAGCACCTTTCAAGGCAGGTGAAATTGCTGACCTAGAAAATGTCCAGAGAACCTTCACGGCGCGCATAACGGAGATAAAACACCTCAATTACTGGGAGCACTTGAAGTTCCTAAAACTGTCCCCTCAAGGAAGGTTCCTTGATGTTGGCGAGGGGCTCTTGATTTAGGGAATTGGATCTGTGCTCCAGTTCCCCGAATTAAGCCTGAATGCCTTCCACATCGCCCCCCAGGCGCTGTATAATCCTCCGGGTTTAGCGCTTCCCCCTTGATTATAATAATAATAATCCTAAAACTGTACTCCCTGGAACGCAGGCGGGAGAGATACACGATTATATACACCTGGAAAATCTTAGAGGGACTAGTACCAAATTTGCACACGAAAATCACTCTCTACGAAAGCAAAAGACTCGGCAGACGATGCAACATCCCCCCAATGAAAAGCAGGGGTGTCACTAGCACGTTAAGAGACAACACAATAAGATTGTCAGGGGCCCAAGACTGTTCAAATGCCTCCCAACATACATAAGGGGGATTACCAATAGACTCCTGGCTGTCTTCAAGCTGGCACTGGACAAGCACCTAATGTCGGTACCTGACCAGCCGGGCTGTGGCTCGTACGTTGGATTGCGTGCAGCCAGCAGTAACAGCCTAGTTGATCAGGCCCTGATCCACCATGAGGCCTGGTCACAGACCGGGCGGCGGGGGCGTTGACCTCCGGAACTCTCTCGAGGTAAACTCCAGACTAAATACTCAATACTCAATATTTAACATTAGCAATAAATCTACCAATTACCCAAATCTTAAAACTTCAAGAGTAGTCGATCAAGTTCATATATTGACAAATTACCACATAGAAGTATACATACCTACCAAAAGCAGTATTAGCCTTCACCAAATTGTAGCAGTCTCATTCTGTAAACTACTGTTAACTACTGTTAACTACTGGAAACTACTCTTGAATAATGTTTCATAAAAAGCATTTTTGAACATATGAATATATCCTTGTTTTTATATATTAGATTCACTTATAATTTACAGAACTTCTGTACAACTACGATAAATTTCTTTAGTGTTAAGTAGTCAGTAAGCCATTAAATTAAGTCGGCCCATAATGCCTAGGCATAATAGAGGCTCTTTGCACTGCAACCCATTATTGTAAAAACATAATCTCGATGTACTACCTGCAAAAAATAAATAAATTTTAATTTGAATTAGAATTAGTTTGCCTTAATACTGGTGAGGGGCTCTTGAACCAAGGAACGGGAGTTATTGTCCCCTTGCTTGGATCGACTTTGAATGCCTCCCATTAAACAGGCGCTATATTACCCTTATGGGTTTAGCGCTTTCCTCTGGTTAAAATATAACAATTGTGAAATGTATCAGTCTTCAATGGCTGATGCATCGTATGAAATGGAACATTTCATGGGTTTAGGCTGTGCAGGCACAAATTTTGTTTAATTTTATGCAACTAGAAAATGCATCTTCTGGTCAGCTTTAAGAGAACTGACTGACGACATTGGAGGACAGGAGAGATAGGGGGGACTTGATAACAACGTATAAAATACTTAGAGGAATTGACATGGTGGACAGGGCCAGAATGTTTCAGAGATGGGACACATGAACAAGGGGGACACAACTGGAAGTTGGAAATTCTGAGAGAGCCATAGGGATATTAGGAAGTATTTCTTCAGCCTTAGAGTTGTCGGGAAATGAAATAATCTGGAGACTGATGTAGTGGAGATACGATAAAGCTCTTGGAGCAGGGAGAGAGAGTGGACCTAGTATCGACCAGAAGCTATGACTCGATCCTTGCAAGTACATGTAGGTGAGTACATATAAGGATCGTGATTCAAGCCGGTGAGCCTACCTCTGTATGTCTCATTGTGAGTTTATCATTTACGCATGAATATAGCAATAATAATTAATAATAATAATAATCCTAAAGATCACAACAAAATAGTTTCAGTTCATTCATTAACTAAAATAGTTCAACTGTGAAGAAAAGGCAAATTAATTAGATTTATTTCAGATTTTATTTCAGATTTCCACATTTTATGTCCAGGAGATATATTAGGAGTTTCCATCATTACTTTCAACAGTTGGAAGGTTGCGGTATAATTTATTGCTTCACTGCTTCCTTGGGATGTATAAATTGAAAATGATAATACTTGAACTCACTTTCACCAATGAAAACATAGTCATGATCACCAGCTAGAGCAACCAAATTATAGCCTCGCTTTTTCATAATTGCAATGAAATCGTGGTCAGTTTTCTTGGTGACGTTTTCAACCACCATCAGCCTGACCCTCACTGTGTTCCAGGGGAAGGTTTCCAGCACTTGCTTCTCACTTCCCTGGATGTCCAGAGACAGGAAATCAACTTTCGTTACATTGAGGGCTAGTAAATATGTGACGAGAGGAAAGCACTGAACTAGAGAGTAAGATTCCTGTGCATTCCCCGTAATTGTTGTACCCAAGTTGTAGGTGAGTTCGTAGCTGCTCCCACGGAAGTCCCAAGGGTGAAGTTGATTCAAAGACTTGCGCCGAAGGGATACCAAGATGATCTCCTTAGGGAAGGGTTGAGATGAAAAGCAGGTGTTTGAGGTCCAGGCTTTGCGGTGCTTGAGGGTGAGGACTTGGTAGTTATGTAGA